AATGTAATAAAGTCTAGTTTTAGATTATTTCAGTGGGAAAAGAACATTAACCGTTTCACACCTTTGCAACTTTAGTAGATTCTACCATGCTTTGATCTGGATGAGTCCACTATGGTCAACAGTGGTGAAAGGGTTAACTGCCATGTCCATCAGTCACTTGGCCGTTATCCTATCTTTTTCATATACTCTCAATGAACAGAATATCTAACCAATTACAGTCTTGGCAATAAGAAGATATTGTGTAAAAAAACCCAAAAAAACCATCATAAAATATCACTTATTTATATAGCACATTTTTTTTGCTCACTTGTTGTTTTTATTTAATGTTCATACCTGTGATCTTCAAGGTTGGTCCAGACCAAATTAAACAGGCTGTAACTACTGTTACTCCATTGTCAAAAGATTTTAACTCTAGTTTTTATGCAACATTCAGGCTTGGTCTAGGTCAATCGTTCATACACACCTGCCAGCCCTTCACACCAGCAAGTTTCAGGCCTACTATCATTATTCTAGGCCACTTGGTTATTTTGAAAAAGGCATGAAAACGTTTCAAGACATTTCACTTCTTTGAACTAGAAAGCAGGTCAAGGTCATCAATTTGAACAAACTTGACAGCCCTTTATCCCAGCATGTTAGACTGGCCAATATCATTACCCTAAGCCTCTTGGTTATTTAAACACATCTGATCCATGTGACCTTAATGCTTCATTGCTTGGTAGCTTTGAATTTTTTACCCCAGGATTTAACAGGCAAAATACCATTATTTTAAGTCCATTGTTAAAAGGTTTGAACAAAAGACAATTGACAGGCATGTGACCTTGAAAGTTGTTTAAGGTCAATCATATGACAGCTATATATGTTCATACAGTTTAGAAGTGTTGAAAAATAACAACCCCTTGCTAAAATAATAGTTTAAGAATCCCAATATCAAAATGTATAATCTATAATTTAATGTTGCTGATCGTAAGTTCCTTTTGAAATTCAAGAACATTTACCACATCGAGTAAAGAAAAGGAGATCTAGAGGACTATGACTCCAGAGATTTAACCATAAGAGGGAGATATTCAAATGTGTACTTTGTAAATTAAAACCTTGCAAGCGAGAAAGTATGTCATTGTACTCCCTATTTACAATAACCTTGAGTCACTGACACTTACTGCAGAAATCCGTTTTCAATCAAGATCAATTTTGGGCTTAATACAGTGTACCAGTGTTATCTTGATGTATCGAAGATCCAGTTACGGAAAACAAATTATTAACATTTCCAGAAAATTCAAGATTATTTCTATATGTAATCAAAATATGTTTATATTTCAATGATCTTGAAATATGTAAATTGTTTTATATTTTTATAAGGAAGATAGAAATCAAGATATTTTATTATCATGAACTCATTCACCCCTGAAGACACATTTGAACTCTTCCAATTCAAAGGTTGGAATAGTTCATTATAAAATTTCAGAGTTGAATGAGTTAAATCCTATACTTTTACACAATAAAAACCAAAGTGTTGAAACTACAAAGTCCCACTTCACATATGTACATGTAGATACCAAATTGTCTAGGCTTTTGAGGTTTTTCTCAACCATACAAACAAACCAAAGTGTCTAGACTGATCAGGGCCCACTACTCATATACATAAACCAAAATGTATCATCTATATATAATTTAATGTTGCTAACTCGCTGATCGAAAGTTCCTTTTCGAAATTCAAGAACATTTACCACATCGAGTAAAGAAAGGAGATCTAGAGGACTATGACTCCCAAGATTTAACCATAAGAGGGAGAGATTCAAATGTGTACTTTGTAAATTAAAACCTTGTAAGCGAGAAAGTATGTCATTGTACTCCCTATTTACAATAACCTTGAGTCACTGACACTTACTGCAGAAATCCGTTTTCAATCAAGATCAATTTTGGGCTTAATACAGTGTACCAGTGTTATCTTGATGTATCGAAGATCCAGTTACGGAAAACAAATTATTAACATTTCCAGAAAATTCAAGATTATTTATATATGTAATTAAAATATGTTTATATTTCATTGATCTTGAAACATGTTGTTTTATATTTTAATAAGGAAGATAGAAATCAAGATATTTAATTATCATGAACTCATTTACCCCTGAAGACACATTTGAACTCTTCCAATTCAAAGGTTGGAATAGTTCAGTATAAAATTTCAGGGGAGAATGATTGAAATCCTTTACTTATACACAATAAAAAACAAAGTGTTGAAGCTACAAAGTCCCACTTCACATATGTACATGTACATACCAAATTGTCTAGACTTTTGAGGTTTTTCTCAACCATTCAAACAAACCAAAGTGTCTAGACTGATCAGGACCCACTATTAATATACATAAATTGTACCTAGGTCTTTCTACACTAAAATCTTCATTCATAAAACATATGCAAGAGATTTCAATCATTGTTCTATAATCATAAATTGATACTTTGATCAAAGAACATAAATCACATCAAACAAGAATAACAAAAATAAAAATAAAAACATAAAAAGAAATTACACCTGTATATAACAATAGCTGGTCTGGATATTTACTGAATGATCACAAAAATAGCTTTATCTTAAGTATCTATCCAATTCAGACAGCCATCTTGTCCTTGACTGTCTTGGAAAAGCTCCAAGTCTATTTCTGATACATATAATGAATGTCTATAAATCTTAACCATAGCAAGGAGACAGGAAAATAGAACAAGCAACTTGACCTTTGACCCCCACCTGTGATCTTAACTTCAATGCACAACGACTGAAAAGGACATGTATCTCATTCATATATCTGCAGTTTGAATTAAGTATGTTCATGAATGCTCTGGTTTGATAAAAATGATCTGAACCTTGACCTTAATTGACCTTCATCTCTGAATGAAGGCCAAAACAGTAGACTGTTTAGAAATGGTACATTTGTTTATGAAGCATGAAGTTTCACTGAAATGTCTCTTTCGATTAGTTTACATACTGTGAAATCACTAGTTTTTGTGTTTTTTGTGTTTTTTTTTTAAATTTTGTTGACTTTGTGGGTAATCAAAGAATTCATTGGTCCACAAAGTAATTACAAGTTTGATATAATAAAGCAATTCTCTGAGCACTCTAAATTATCTTCCAACGAAATGGTGTTTTGTCGTAAAACAGGGAAATTTGGGCCCAAAGAAAATATCTTATATATTATTTTACGTTACAGAATGCTACTGACAACTGAAATATAATCTGAACCTCAACCTAATTGATGACCTTGACCTCTCTGAGTTGGGTCCTGAAGATATTCCCTGTGTGCCTATAAATAAAGTACAAGTACACATTTCTTGGAAGTTTCAATAAGATACTTTCAGTTTTCAGAGAATGTAAACAGACATCGGACTCCTGAATATGCAAATTACAGTGCAAAATTTACATCAAACATATTTTGAATTTCATAAAATTCAATATTTATAGATTTTGAATTCAATTGTTTGCCAATTTTTTCTCGATGGTCCTGCAAAGTTTGAAACATCAAAATTTTACTGTACATGGTGTTTGTTAGGTACGTTTAAAACCACTAAAGTGAGCTTGCTTTTAGTTTTCAGAGAATGTACGTAATATAAACAGACAGCTGACTCCTGAACATGTAAATTACAGTGCAAACATACATCAAACATATTTTGAATTTCATAAAACCGCTAAAGTGAGTTTAATTTGTAGGTAGGATATAACTTATCAATAAAAGAAAGTGTTACTATGAATTATAATTTTGTGCTTAACCTCAACACCACCAGCAAGAGTACATGAGTTATCTCCCCTCATATTTCAATATTACAAGGGAAATAACTCCTACCAAAGACTGTAATTAAACAAAGACTTATTTTTCAATAGGCTTCTGTGTCAGGTAAAAGCTCAATAGCTAAATCTGAATGGGTAACCTATTGTGTATCTTTTTACATTAAAGCATTTGTTTATTAATGTTTCTTATGCATGTACTCACTAAGTCAAAACTTCAAGTATTAATTGATTAAATATTAATTAACCTCGGGGCTAATTATTACACCATTAATATTGAATGAAAGTTGATATTCTAAAAATAAATAAATTAAAGCAGATTATATAATGTGTGATCATGCTTTCGTCCACAGAATTAATGTTTAGTTTCTACAGATACCTCAGCATTTCTTTTTAAACAACAGCAATATATATCCAAAGATATAAATGGGAATAGCCAACCCATATTTCCTGGTATGACACCTATAGTGTATATTTAGCAATTCACTCAGCAGCTGGGAGGCTTGGAGACATAAAGACATATTTATCATAAAACAGGTCACCTGCCCTAATAAGGTCCCCTTACAACATTTTTTTCTATTTAAAATCAGTGCATTCCTACCAGCAGGTAACAAACAAGGTTTTGAAAAAATTACATTTCAAGGGAGATAAATGGGATAGTACTGACAGGAGGTAAGAGACTGTGATACAGGTGAATGGGATAGTACTGACAGAGGTAAGACGGCTGTGATACAGGTGACCAAATGGTACAGTATCAATAATGATGGACTTATGTAAATGCAGTCTTTAAAATCTTTTTTTTTTTTCATTGATACATTTACATTTTAACTTGAATTACAGATAGCATTAACACTGATTACAAAACAATAACATATTGTGTAATTTTACAGGAATTTTTGTGTTGACAAATATTCAGATTTCATGAATCTAAAAATTCATTTAAATTCAGAATTGTGTTTTCTGTTGTGAAACCATTAACTCTATTATAAATGCTTACCACAGTCATTGCAATGTACATACCCAATTGTAATCATCCTAATAACTGCTGCATATAATTGGCACTTTTTCAGGGTGACTCTGTTTAAAAGAATTCATGTCACACTGCAACAAATTTCTGTTAGTTAATTAAGCACACCAGCTAGGGACACATTTTAGGCTATAAACAATAAACCAAAGTATAGGCATTGTCTGAAATACTGATTAATGAAGTCAGAGAAAGACATACCAGCCCTGCTATCGGCACGGGTAGCTTGTTGATTCGCTTGATGCTGCCTGGTTTTATGGTGTTGAGCAACCTGTCGAATAAAAATAGAATTTAATTGAACTTATTTAAATATTCTGGGCACATTCAGCATCTACTGGAATCTAGTGGGATGATAACTGATTATATTCAAAGATTTTCAGCAATATTTCACTTTAGAAAATTGACATTGCTTTATATCAATTTTCTAAAGCCTTGGGCCAATATGGAATTAGCTGATTAATAACCCTATGTTAAAGCTTTATTTGGCAATACTTATTACAGTTCTGAGCTTCTACATTTAAATAACAAGTAACAATTACATATAACAGGTACAAACATCACCATCAGCATTACCAACATTATAAAAAATGTCATTCTAATTCATTTGAGATGTAACAAGGCATTTGATTAGTCAACCAAAATAATTTGCTATAGTAAAACCACGATATACTCTCCGTATGAAGCCTGGATGGCGATTGTTAATGGTGTCGATAACCCCGACTGACCCTGACACGTCATGAAATTGATTATATATGACGTCACAAACAATAGCTTGAACCCGAAAGGTCAACGTGATTCCGCCTCACTTTGAATATTCTGATGTCACCAATCCACAGAAGAACCCAGAGACCCAGAATTTGAAGAAAACGCTAAAAAATGTCTTAAAATCATCATTGTTTTTCAGTGGTTTTAATTGATATAAATTAGAATGGAGATAATCCTACTGTATATTATAATTTGTTTGGCATCACCAGTACAACCCAATTTCCGTCAGTATAATCACGATATACCACTGCAAATTTCAAAATACAGTAGGGCGATATATAATTATCCCCTAGTTGTTATCACTATAATCATTGAAATTCACAGATTTAGAAGGAGATTAAGGTGTTACACAGGGCCATGCATATGTGACCTCTTTCTTGAACAAGTTAATTCTGCATGTATGATTTGAATATTGAAATTTGAAAAGACATGCTTGTATGAAGGACAATGCACAGAAATGGCCTTGAAGTGCCAGTTTAACCCTTGGCTACATTTGCAATAAAAATACAAAAGCATGTGGCATACAAATACAAGCTTAGGTGTTCTACATATTAACGGGTACAATGTATATATTCCTATTTTTTAAGGCTGCCTTGTAGAATGGTTGACTTACTCGCATAACAGCACACCATTTTCCAGGGATTTCCGGAAGTCATCTGGATACTGGAACTTCTTCCTTGTGACGGCCTGTAAGTAGAAGACAAGTGGCAAGTGTTAGAAGAGTAAACAGTGGAATAGTTTACTGACACATTAAACTTTTATGATTACAGCCTTGCATGAGCTCCCGGTACTGTTTTTCATGAATATTTTGGTTTTATTGGTCTTATTATAGACCACGAAAACAAGTACAAGTTATCTGGTTGGCACATCCTTCAGTCAGTAGATTTATTAACATATCTAAAGTTGTTCTCAGTATTACCAAACTATTTCAAAATGCACTTTGACATCAGATATTTTAGTGGGCCCAAATTTGTGGTTTTCCCTGACAAAACACCATTTCGTGGGAACATGAATTCGTGGATTATGACTAGCCTCGAGCTCTCAAACGGTAATTGCTTTATATCAAACTTGTAGTTAGTTTGTGGATGAATTAGATTACCCAAGAAATCAATGAAATTAGAATACCTACGATTTTAAAGAAGCTAATTATGTTGTGACAAAGACCCATTGATTGTATAATAAGGGAATTAAGCTACAATGTACAACGCGTCTTTAATCTCCGAAGCATAATCTATTAACAATCATTTAATTATGAATAACCAAATGGTGATATTATCGTTGCTATTGTTCCCCAAACACAACCATTTTTAGAATCCTCTGGTACTCAATATGTTCTGATGATTGTGTTTGTTGAAGCTAAAAAGTATTGAAGGTAAGTGGAAAAATATCAAATCCAATGTCAGGCCTGATTACAACACTTAGAAACTAGCTACCATAGTTATATCATTGGTTCTTATTATTGCTTCCTGCTTGTTTTATGTTGCAATACTTAAAGCTACAAATGGAATGGGAAAACTCTCCGAGACCTCCTCGGTCTATCGCAGCAGCAGTTGTTACGATATTCAAACTCCTTCAACCCCTTTGACCTTGAAAGTATAGTGCAAGGTAATTTATGAAAATAGACTTGATAGCCCGAGGAATCCATATACCTCAAATACTCTGGTGATACTATAAGCCTATGGTATCTCTTAAGGAGTGATTTGAAGTTTAAAAAGATTTAATTCTTCATTGAATTAACAAAATTAAAAGTCCTTCACCTGAGCACTATATAGCTATCAGTCATACAATGTAACTGTTCAACACATTTGATGTTGTGACCTTAAAATATATCATGTCTGATTCTCTGCACACACTTTAAAGTCTGTCTACCATTGAATACAAGCAGTACACTACTGGAAAAACATGAAAGGCCGATTGTGATATTTTCCGCACTTTTTCAGCTTGATTGCTGTGACCTTGAAAACATGTAAAGTGATTGTCTTCCACCAGGAATCAAGTTAGACCAACCAAATGTGATGTGTTTTTTTTTTCAACTTTCAATAATATTAAATTATGGTCTGTTTGCAATTTTTTATAAAGTTTGGAAAATGTTTATTTAAAAATCCTACCTTAAGACAGAATTCTATTAGATTTTAATAATGCTTCATTAATATATATAGCCAAAATAATATTACGGACTACAGTACCTGTCATCGTAAAACCTTAATAGGCAGGGAAAGGACAAAGAAAGACCTGTTTAAGGATACCTGTACCATATTGCACTGAGGTTTTTCGTATAAACAATAATCTCCCCTTAATTTCGTTTTGAATGTTGCTGTAATATGTACAGCTGGTCCAGGACACAGTCATGAGAGCACTAGTATTTTTATTAACAATCTGAAATCCAGGGTTCGAATATAAAATCCTGTTCTCTAGCCTTGCTGAGTTTTTACACCCAGAACACTGCTGTTAATTATATTATCTTTATTCCATCTTCATTTTTCATAGCAGTCCCTCAAGGTTTGGTTTTCTTTTCAGAATTGTTTAATCAAAGCCATATAGTTCTGCAAGAAAAAAATAGTTTCCAATGTATATAGTTACAGTTTCTGGCAGTGGAACTGGAATCCGTTAATTTTGTAGTCTGTTACATTTACTTTTATATATGGTTCTACAGGTGTTCTTTTTCTTTTTTCATTCAAACAGATTTTATTGACATTAAACAGTCAAAGGGATTGGTCACAAGTTCTTACAACTTACTAGGCCCTCTCCCAGTTGTTTGACGAAAGGACAATGTTAGGATAACGAATGTGATAATCAAATTTTCCTTGAAAAAATATATTCCATTGTTGAAAAGACTTACTTCAACAATACGCTCAAAATGTAGGCTTAAGTTCTAAAATGATTTTTGAAATATTGATTTCTCAACTTGTGTACTTTATAATTTACACAAGCTGGTACATCAAGTTAACAAGAAGTACAGAGGTGACCTGTACAATATATACCAGTCCCTACACGTATTTTTTTAAAGGTACACGTCCAATTTAATCTGGGATTAAATCTGTCCACCACATTCAGGTCAAATAATGACACCACAGGACACCTAATTACTGTGTAATAATAAATCCCAGCTGATGGTCAGCTTATATGTGTGTGGTCAGTAGGGATATATATTATGTAACAGGTTATAATCCAAGAATATGTAATTTTAGGTCAAAATCCATACATGAACGTCGCTATTGATCGTCCCTCACGCCACCTCCCACCTTCAAGTTGAAATATTACGATAGTTAAGTCAAAGATGGTAGTTTAAACGGTCTTATCAAACAAGAGTAAGGGGAATCTTCACACGTTTCACCTTAGTGTGACCTTTGCGTGTATATATATGTATATAAAAACTTGACCATGGTAGTCACTGTCTAAACAAAGGTTCAGACCTGTTTAAAGCCGTCTCCCAAATACTTCAAACGATTTATTTTGAAAGTTTATTGAAAAAAGAGCCTCTAGCTACATTAACCTTATAACATCAAATCTGGAGCAATTTGAAGGACTTTGGAAATTCTGTTTAACAGTTCTTGATACAAAGAGTGTTAAACTTTCGCCTATAAAAATATTTTATTACAGGTTTCGTACTTATAAAGTTGTAATACTTGGCTTGCCTTGTGTAGACTCCATGGGTTTTCCAACTTACGCCAACGTCGAATATAAGTTAAACCCAGAACAAACAGTTCAGACTCCGACAAATATCCAATTACCAATTATACAATGTCAAGTGTCATGTTGACTTCTTCTTTCCATTGTAAGTTTTAGAACTTTTGAGGACAAAGTACGATCCTTGTTTAGACTGCTGTTTCTCACATTTCCAATAAACTGAATACTTGCTCGACTTATCACAGGGACCAATTCACTTCGGAAGGAATTTACTTTTTCTTCGTTATTTGAAGAAACTTTTACTCATTTTTATATATAAACCTCATGGTATTCAAATTTTCCAATTAAAACGAAAATTGGTAAATTTTGAAACTCAGAAGATGGAGAAAAAATGTTCCCATAGGAAATTGCAAAGTTTTCCATTGAAAAGCATTATTTGCTTCAGATAAGCAAAATATCCTTAACAAATTTTTTTCAGCAATGTTTTCCAATGGAAACATATCATTATTAGCCAAGATATTTTCGGCTCAATGTTAAGTTTGGGGCACCTTGGATCTATGTACATGTATGTCTACAGTAACAAGACAATTTCGCGAATTAGGGTCCCCCACCGAATGTGAAATGCACAAATGATAAATTCATGCAGGAACTAATTCTATATATGTGAATGTTTGACAAACCCACCGTATTCAATAAAGAATAGTCAGTGCTACTATTGCAAATAAATCTGGTGGATGTTTACTGGTTAGTGGTAGCGTTTTTACTATTAAATTGCATCTGGTGACACTATGTATGCTTCTTCTTCAATGCAAGTGAACCCATGCCCCGATCAAGAAGTTCCAGTAACTATAGTAGTGTGTAGGAGATAGAGCCCAGACAAACGTTTTCTTTGATGTAGGTCAAAGGTCAAAAACAGAGTGACCTACTTTGATATACGACACACCGCCTCACCGAGATGAACCCATACTCCAGGTATAAAGTTCCAGTGACTAGTAGTGTAAGAGAGAGAGCCCGGACAAACTTTTTCTTTGATGCAGGTCAGAGGTCAAAATGTATGTCAGAATGACCTACTTTTAATACACGACACACCGCCTCACCAAGGTGAACCAATACCCCAAGTAGGAAAGTTCCAGTGAAAAGTAGTGTAGGAGATAGAGCACAGACAAGATATCGGAAGGACAAAAGGACGGACGGACATGACACAAGACTTTAGTCCTCCCCCCCCCCCCCAGTTCCTGATGGGGGACTAATAATTGACTGTATGAATGAAGCAGAATATAGCTATTAACCCATGTGCACTAACCACTTTGTATTTTTATAGCAAGGAAATAATACAAGTACACTATATTGAGTACCGTAACAACAAACAGTTAAAGTACCAGGTATAGGCTTGAGGTGTGTGGCAAGTTGCTTGTTCTCCGAGATCAGATCTATTTTCCATGGCAAAGCCAAGGGAAATAGATCTGGTATCGGGGAACCAGAAACTTGCTATATCCCTTAAGCCCATATACTTTAACCCATTCACCCCTGAAATTTCATAATGTATTATGAGCTATATATACCAACCTTTGAATTGGAAGAGTTCAAATGTGTCTTCAGGGGTGAATGAGTTAAGGAGATGTATAATTTTGCCTGATGCTCGGTAGTCCACGGCCAGTAGCTATTAATATACAGACCTCTATTAATAGTACAGTAACCATTTTCTCTACAGTATGATAGCTATATATAATGTATGTAGAAATCCCTAAGTAGCGTATATACAGTATATCAGACACAAAACAAATTTAGGATATTAACCTTGAAAGATTTCTTGAGGTCAGAAAACCTATTGAGGACCATCTACTCATTTGAATTGTCGGATGTCTCAATTGATAATATACAAACTGACGGTTCAAGTTGGCATACTAATATATATACCCCGGTACTGTACATGTATACCAGGATTGTTTTTACCAGTCTACTTTTTTGTCGATCTTTTGTCTTCTGTTCCTCTGGGTGAATATACCATATGATTATACCATATAAACACAGGTTGATATTAGCACAGGGAGGATATGAATTTTACTGGTATGTATATGGTGAAAATTTCACTTGATGCAATATTTATGCAAGTTTCCAGGTATTCATGCCATACAGCTCCAACCCCTTTTTCACCTGATTTTCTGGTTTTGAAACAAATGTGACATGATTATTGTAGATGCACATTAAGTTTGGTTGATCTCAGCGCAGTGTTTTGATTGGTTCCTCGTGACGTCAACACGCTAAATTTAATATGTATACGTAAAAAGGGGACCAGGTGCAGGTATATATGATTACTTGAGAAAATTTTCAACCAAAACAACAGACAAAGATTTTAACTACATTGTACGATGTTTCTATTGCACCAGAGACATGAAGATCTGTTATCCCACTCCTAATTATTAGTTACTTCACACAAACACTTAGTCAAGTGCATGATACATATATATATATAATTCCCCTGAAATACAAGTACACTTGTATAGTGTATATGTCACTGTGAGCAGGTATTGTTTCATGCTTGGCAGCTCTGTTTTATTTTATTATACACTGTACCTCTACTTTATTTACTCTATATAAAAGTAATTGGTTAAATCGATCGAATATATCCCCACTTTTGCCTGACTGTGTTTTAGTCCTGTGTGTTAGTCTGGGAACTAAAACACCCCTCCACTCAGGTGTTTTCGCCGAGCCAATCAGGCGAGAGGTGGGCGGAGCTTGTTATTAAACTCGGAAGCAACGCACGAGGTGGACGGAGCTTGCTACCGAACTCTGAAGCGATGTGCGAGGTGGGCGGAGCTTGCTACCGAACTCTGAAGCGATGTGCGAGGTGGGCGGAGCTTGCTACCGAACTCGGAAGCGATGTGCGAGGTGGGCGGAGCTTGCTACCGAACTCGGAAGCGATGTGCGAGGTGGGCGGAGCTTGCTACCGATCTCGGAAGCGATGTGCGAGGTGGGCGAGGCTTGCTTCCGAACTCGGAAGCGATGTGCGAGGTGGGCGGAGCTTGCTACCGAACTCGGAAGCGATGTGCGAGGTGGGCGGAGCTTGCTACCTAACTCGGAAGCATTTGACTACATCGCCGTCAAAGGGGTACTTGGGACGCTAAGCTTTATACAGCTTATGGTTTACAAATATTTTCTAGTTAAAACTATCTCTTTCGCCTCGGGAAATAGACCTGGTCAAGGGACACCAGAAACTTGCTATACCCCTCAACCCTATACTTTAACTGCACAATAATACATGTATCATTATTTACAGCATCCTTTTGTTAGAGGAAGTTGTCTATCTAATAAAACCAACCAGACGATTTCTGGAATCCAGAATTTTATAATTTAAGCATTCAAGTAATTTATCTAAAATACCTTAAGGGGCACTCTTTGATTTGGAGCAAGCATCCTCTTTTTGTCAAACATGGCGGCTTCTCAAAATTTTAATTGCCTGGTTATCTTGTCTCTTTTATATAGCTGTATAGGTACGTATATTATGTACTATTATTTGTACTGTACTTGTGTATACAAAAATGTATGTTTACAATTACACACCTGTATCTTTACGCTTCGGTATGTTTTAAAACTTTCCCAGATAACAAAACTAGATCTATACGCCGTAATTTGTTGAGGCCAAATGAAAAAGAATAAATGTTTCTCTCTCTTTTTTTTAACCAAGATTTACTATGATGACTGCATGTATATAAGGGATTTTACCATCTATATTACTTCTTTGACCCATATGTACTTTACAGGTATATATATATACGTAGGTTTTCTATAAAACCAGTTCTGGTTGATTGATAACTTATTATATTCGACATATTTCAGTACACAGACGCTGTACCATATATGTTGTCCTGTAATTATAAGAAGAGTTGTGCACTTTTTAATCTTATAACCACATGCGTGTTTGCATTATTTTAAAACCTATTCACCCCTAAAGTCACATTTGAACTTATCCAAATTGAAGACTTGGCAAGTCCAGTTTAAATATGTAGGGGTGAATGAGTTTAAATAATGGACAATTATGTTGGCATTTAACAAGTTATCTTTTAAAAAATTTATGAAATTCTTTGTAATGATTATATTACCAATAAATAGGTGGAAGTGATTGAAACTAACCTAGATTTACAATTGCTGGTCAGATTAATTGGTGAGCTTGCAATTTTTTAGGCATCATTGAAATTATCTTACTAATATAGGATTGCAGAAACTGTACATACCAAGGAATTTAAAACAGAATATAGAGTCTATTAATGTATCAGTTGAGATATTATATTATATCTTTCATGCGAACTTTCACCTAGAGCTGTCTCCAAGTTGGGAACAAAACTCTATCAGTGGTGCACCTTAACTTGACTGAACACAGCGCTATACATGTAGCTGAATAATATACATGAAGTTATGTACACCAACATATATACATCATTATTAAAACACCTGAAGAATTGCTAATTTGTGGTATGATAATGACTAAGAATTTAATTAATTTAAAAGTAGACATTAGTCATGAAATCTGATTAAATCAGATTTTTGCATCCCTCCAATTTACTAATATGTCAAGTGGCATATTATTGGTAAACAGGGGCCATGTAAATACCTAATTTTAATTAGGCCAAATGAAAAACAAATCTGGTGTTTCCACTAACCCTATACACTGTACCTACCCTGGATTTTAGTGCCTACTCTAAAGTTTTTGTTGGCTGATCATATATGCACAGTAAAAATATTTTCCAAAATAGAAAAAAATCTGCCTATACCTATACCTACCCTATTTTTTCTAAAGATGTTAGCAGTCTAAACACAAATAATATATTTTTTTCGCCTTAGATTGGGTATTAGAACATTTTTGCTGATGAAAAGAAGAGGCCTAATTTAAGATTTTTTTGGTCACCTGTATATATATAGTATAAAATTATGAATACACCTTACAACAATCACGAAACAGGTTCTATCAATCACTCTTGTTGGCCTGGATGCAAGCATATATGGGAGAAAACCAAACTTAAAGTGCTCGGAGAAAACACATGGTCAGGTATGTCATCCTCTAGTTCCTACTTTTCAAGTCATATATCTAGCCTACGGATGCTCCTTGCCAAATAGGTCAAAACATGCATACTTAATATAGTTGTTTTTAAAGAATAACCCATGTTTTCCCATTTTGGATCCTGCCCTATTGCCCCCAGGAAATGTACAGCTACAGACTTAGAGGGTCTAATTCCGTGGTACAACCCAATTTTACAATTTGGAATTCCCTAGGGCTGCAAACAGAGCTTAACATTTCAGCATATATATTATTTGATTAGTTCTATTTTTTCAGTGCTATAAGTAGTAAATATTTTGGCCATGTGTAATACTTGAAAAATACATTTTGTATGCCGTCAGGCTCATAAAGATTGCCCAATTAAACGTTTACTCGCTAGCAATGCTAGCCTACAGAGATTGTTAACTCATTCATCCCTGAAATTTCATAATGAAACTACTCCAATCTTTGCACCAGAAGAGTTTAAATGTGTCTTCAGGGCTGATCAAGTTCACATAGTTTTATGATAGAGAAGCTATAGTCGGTAACTATAGAGATTGAAAAAATACTCTGACACTATATTGCTTGTTATTATAATATCTCTACTTATTTTACACTGTACAAAAGTAACCACATAAACACGCTATTTCCCCTCTAATAACATGCCAGGGAAATAGTTCGTCTGGAGGGGTGCGATAGTTTTGAAACTAATTCCCTCGGAAAATGCGGGAAATTGAGTGACGTCGTGGGCGGGGCCTGACCGAATATTGACCAATCATCGCAATCAAATTACGTCGGCAATTTCCGGCCAGCGGAGCGGGTACTTTCTGGACCGACCTTCACCTCGCAAGGTTGTTGACAGACTGTCCCAACTGTTGAAAATTTGTTGTCTAATAATATTTATAATATTGTAAGGGAGTGTTTGTATCGGTATAATAAAACAGTTGAAGTATGGGTATTTCGGGATATAGCAAGTTTATGATCCCCCTCATCCTAGACTATTTCCCCAGGCAAACCATACTTTAACTGTTAACTATTAATCAAAGGTGTACTGTATGTATTCCTATTCAAGCAATTCTTTGTGAGCCCCCTCATTTTGTTTTATTTATCAAATCACCGACTTAGATAGCAAATATAATCTAATTCTGTGATCAAATTAAGATATTATTTTTGAGATTGAAAATTGAAATTATATATTTGTAATATATGTATCAAGTTAAATAATAATCTTCAGGATTGAAAACAGAAACGTATATATTAGTATATACGTCTCTGTTTTTAATTAACTGTTTGAAATATAATAGCCATGGCATTTCAAAGTATTGGTATCAAAAATGTTACACATACGGTACATACACCTTGATAAAAGCATAGATTTTACCTGAATCACGACAGGTATTAGAATAACTTCACTTATTATCCAAGTTACAACATTTACTGATTTAGGACAACTCTGAACTGTTGCCTCGGGAGGGATTCGTCACATTATGCGACGGTTCTTACATAATCCGAAAGTTATTTTATCTTTGTATGCATCACGAGCCGTTCATACTTTGTTTACAACAACGGCAAAGATTGGTTATTAGATTGCACGTGTATACAAAGAATGTCAACAAATCCCCATCTGTTTACAAATACACCCGAGATGCGCGGCCCAGGGATTTAGATGATAATCCGTGCTGGAGTTTGACTTCGTCTTGTCTAAATTTAGATAAACAGTGTCAACAAACAATGGGGTCAGATTTAAAAGCCAGTTAACTACCTTACTACAAGAGGGTGTGTCTTAACTACCTGTATGTGAATGGAGTGTCTATAAACTTGAGATGTACGCACAGGTACATCAACAAAGCCTGGAAAAACTTACAGATATCCAGCGCTCTGTTTCATGCAATGCTAACTCCGTAAAAAAGTCCTCTTCTTCGTCTTGTCGCAAACGTAAATCCCACGCATCATCTTCGTTTTGTTCTTCATTCGCCATTTTGTGAGCGAACCCCTGTCCGAGGTCCACAGGTAATTGTGTCCTTGTGTAGGTAAACGAGTATATGTAGCTAGCGTTACGCTATGTGAGTTCAGTCGGCGAGTTTTGTTCAGTAGCCTGTGGCGAAGTTTTCACCGCGGAACCGCAAGTACTAACTTACTCAATAAGGACACATGCCACTAGTCCACCAAGTACACCCTTTCCGTGTACGTCTATCCATCACCATTTAATGTACCGTCGCGTCCAGCCGTTATTTGTTGATATCAAAACCGCACTACACCTGTCGAACTGTCATATCACACCAACTCAAACCTTCTACCCTGAACTGTAGTCACGTGAAAGTTGTGTTAGTATCAAGTTGATAATAGGGAACTCTTTTTACAAAATGTATTGTTTGCTTCTCCAATAGGCTGAAAGTCTTGTAACCCAAATCAAAAGTTTGATTAAAAACCGAGCACGGCATGCACAGGCCAGAAAAGAGGATAAAAAGAGAGAAAATCTTAACTATTGCCATTGTAATGAAAAGTTAAAAATAAATGTAAAATAAAAAAAAAACTTAAGCGAAATATGAGATATTTTTAATTGCTCTTCAGCTGTCAAGGGCATAGAGACATGAGAATGTGTTACAACTATTTATATGTGGACCTAAACTATAAGGTATTCAGAGTAATTTTATATGTTTCAGAGGTTTAGATCGACTTTCGGTAAAAATGACACACCCAATGATACCAGGTCCAAGTATAGTTGTAACAAATGTTCATGTTCGACTTTTAAGAAACCAGTAACGTCAGATTTCTTGTACAAGTATTTACCATTAACAAAAAATACTTTGTCAAGTAAAATTCTGAAGACTTATTTCTCACAGGGACCTGAGTATTTGTTATTAGATTAGAAAATCCCTGTTATCTACCTAATTCTGTGGTTATAGCTATATTTGGACATAAACTACGGTGTTCAGAGTAATTTTTCATGTTTTATGGGTTAGATCACGGAATTAGATGATCTAAGTCCGTTGTTAGATCGACTTTCGGTAAAAATGACATCCCCATCTCTAAACACCGTATAATGAGTTCAGGTTCAAACAATTACTAGAGTGTCATTTTTACCGAAAGTCGATTTAACCCCATAAAACATGTATAGTTAGTCTGAACACCTTAGTTTAGGTCCAAATAAAGCTGTAACAAATTCTCAGGTCCCTGTGTTATTTCTGGCATCGTTATAGAACAAATATATCAAGGACTTTAATTTGGTAGTAGTGGTGGTGGGGAGAGGGGGAGGGGGTTATTTCTCTAAGAAGTTGGATTTAGGAAATGAAAGACGTTGACTGAATTTTGACTTTAATGGAACACTGAAAAAGACATTACGTTATTTCTCTGAAAGTATAACTGAGATTGGATTTTGGAAATGAAAGACGTTGACTGAATTTAAACTTTATATTGAAACACTGAAAAATACATTAAAAAGGAAAGCATCTAGCAGTCAATGTCTATATATTATTGTCTCAACAGACATTAAAACAAATTAATCGATTACCAGATTACCAAGGCTGTAAAACAGAAGACAGAAGGAAACGCAACAACGCAAAATATCTCATTTTTAGTAAACTATCACGTAACCCCACCCCACCCTCTTGAAAACGATTTTCATCCATGTTTTTCATAAAAAAAAAAAACCATAAAAAAATCTTTTGTTTACAAAGCATATGATTAATTCTGACAAAATCCCGATATTTTCTGACCGGATTATCGTAACAAAGACTGGGTTAACTTGGTTAAGTATTAACAGTAAGAACACCTGATTCGCTAATACTTACTATTACAATTAGCTAACCTCATACCAGAATCACGTGCACCATTATTTACTATATATAAACATTTGTTTCGCTATATATTATCAAAAGGACATATACTTTTCGTTGTCCTCGTCCGAATTTGATGTCATTTGCGCCCGTTTTACCCTGGCACGTTTGACACAACTCATGACAACCCTTAATGGAAAAAATTCGTATTAATCAGAAAAAGTATACTAACAGGTGCACGTTACCCCGAATGGAATAAAATCACAATATGGGGTGTGTGCGCACCCTTTAATGTATTTTATAACATTAAGGGTTTCGCGTGACTCCCTTAATGTAGAATTACCCTATTTAGATATTTTACATTTTTTTGTAAGGGTCGTCATATATCATCGGCTCAAACAAAAAACTAAATATCGAGGTAATTTTGAGCTCGCAGCTCTGTCGAGAAATGTGTAATTTTCACATGTCTATCTTACTAGTCTGCTAAACGCGTCATGTTTATTCTTTGTCAGAAGGTGAATGTGAGTAAGCGCGTTCTGTGTTTGAGCTGTTGATTAGAAAATCCAGGATATCAATACACCAAGTTTGCGACGAGACGATCCAACTAATGATGAGATTGAAGAAATTGCAACATTATGATCAGAATTATTGATATGAGAAAAGACTTTGTACAAAAATATTGCGAACATTATATTTTCTGACATTTAGACATTTAGACTCGTATTTTACTAGAAAATGGGAAGTTGTCATGAACGTTTGAGAAATTCATAAGATTCGCAGTCACAAGATGTGACGCTCACATTCACATCGTGTAGATTTCTCAAACTTTCACGACAGCTTCCCGTTTCATAGAAGGATACGCGTGGCACATGCCAAAATGAAAATATTCGCATGTTTTGTACCAAGTGTTTTCTCGCATTTAAACGTAAAAACAATCCTCTTTTTTATCAAAATGATACCCGACACATTCGCTGTGAAACAGGAAGTCGGATACATATCTGATGCAGATTAAACAACAATATTTTACATTTATATCGTTTTAGGCCTCGTACGACTAAAACGGTGTTTCGCACGGCGTTTTTATCTTTACTTCGTCCAAAGATGCATAAAAACGCTAAATAAATACCAGAATCAACATTACGGTCAATACACAATCAATCGGAAGGAATTGGATTCCGGCCTTTACTTCCAAGATCAATATGGAAGATGATACCAAGACATTTTCCCATGTATTCATCCAAGATCAAAAAGTCTTAAGAAGTCGACTACATCATCTGGATGAAACACGTAGATACATGCATCAGTGATTGGGGAAAGTATCATTAATTCGAATAAGTTGTATAATTTTTTGTTTTTGTTTGGGGGAACAGCCAGGGTCATATGTATGAGGACGGGTGCCTAGGGAGACACCGCATGAAACAGAACACAGATAGAAAAGAAAGAAGACAGGAATGACAGGAAACGAAGAAGATCCGAAGTGTTACAATGGGAATAGCAGATCAATGTTTGTTTCTTCCATGTCCCAATCCTCGACATCCAGGGGTTACCCTCACTTTCGCTCTCAGCACCCCTGTAATATGTCATAGCAAAATTGAAGGCACGAAGATAGCTGTTTGATTGGTCTCAGGTGAAAAAAAACTGACCAATCGCTAGGCTGATACCTGTCCTTTGAAGATTACAAAGGAGAGACGCCTGACTTCAAAGCCTGTTCATTTTTACCGTTACCTGACCGCGAGATTATTTTGATGTATTTCAAAGGATCGAACTAGTCTTCTTGTCTAATCAACCAGGTGGCGCACACCGAGCCGAGCGAAAGTGAGCGTAATCCCTGGATATCGAGGATGCGATGTCCCCTTCGTAGAGAAAAAACTAGGTCCTGAAGGGAACCCCACATTAGTCGTCGAGGTGGATGTAATAGATGAAGTACCGTACAAGTTAACAGAATGTTGGAGGAGAACATACCTGAAACGTGTTTTTAACACGTTTCAGGTCTTTTGCAAAGGGCAAATTCCATCTGGACAATGTAGCCGTAGTACTTTAACGTAAAGTCGTGTGATGGTTAATGTCGGATACTACATCAGCAGTGAGCTATCCAGATAAAACCTAATTACCGTTTTAGAAACTTTAAGATTTAGACAAATAGAAACCAAAATATTGAAATATTTTGACGGAAATTCTTTCAATTTAACGACCCATGTCTTTTGGAGAGAGCAAGGGAGGTTCACCGATACATTTAATTAAGACGCGGACGGATATTTCGTTGTTTGACTGTCCTCAAGGGCTTTTCTCTCCTTTAGACGAAACAAAACAGTGAAATCACGATTCCTCAGTAGTATTTGATGATATAATAAAAAATATTGCTACACATGGTCCTACGCCAGACATCAACGGGAAGTCGGGACTGAAAGTAGAATGAGGTTCAGATAGCGGTGTCACAAACACACTTGAGATTTGAGTCCAAACTCAAGAACACAAGCACAGAGTCCACAAAGAAATAAAAACTGAGGCTGCCCAAATTGCAATCCGGAGTTAGAATTCAAGCTCGTGAACGCTGCTGTATGTAATAAAATGGTCAGCGTTTTATATAGGCAACTGAGAGCTAGCCGGTATTAGTTTAGGGCTTTGTCGCTATTCAAGAGAAAGCTCACTTTCTTAAAATGACAGCATCATTTTCTTTAGATTTCGGTTTGACAGATAAACCGAAGTTTGTATTACGTTTTACCATCACCATATCACCGAGTGACCTCAAAGAGGGGCCGTCACATTGAAGCATTGGTTCAAACTCTTGTAACGTTGTGCTTTCTCGTACAGGAGTTTCCCGTCTTCGATACTCAATGTGTTGCGCCCACTTTCGCTCTCTGCACCCCTGGATCTCGCGGTCTCGTAACGGTAACGTTGGCTGTCTTTGAAGTCGAGTGCAGCTCCTCTGTAACCAATTTTTGTTTTACCCGAGACCAATCAAATAGCTAGCCGCGTGCCTTCAAATTTGCTATGACATATTCAAGGGGTGCAGGGAGTGAAAGTGAGGGTAATCCCTGGAGTATAAAGGATGGAGTTTTTTCTTATGTGTGTGCGGTATGTCGGTTCAGTCATGTGACCGGTTGCATTACAAAAGGTTTAATATAAAGCACTGACATACTTTTCTCACACGAAACTACTCGAATTTAAAGAGGACGGATTGTTGCTGAAACGAAAGATGAAAAAAGGTACGAAGAAATCAATGACGTCATGGATTGGACGACGATATACCGTCAGAGGTGTTAACTGTCGAGATTTTTTTTATAGTTTTCAAAATCCTGAGAGGTTGTTCAAAAGCTGATGTGAAGTACGCACAGCTAAACAGTGTAGNCCAGTAGTAAGCAATATTTGACGAGGAGGAGGAGGAGGAGGAGGAGGAGGAGGAGGGAGGGAGGAGGAAGAGGAAGAGGGAGGAGGGAGGGAGGAGGAGGGCATGTATATAGAACGATGCACATATAATTGTCATTATCATGAGTGTTGTAA